ACGCCACAAACCGTTGCGTGAGGTATGCTAAAGCACATTTGGACAAGCCAGCCTCATTTTGGAATAAGGTGCAGCCGACTTGTTAAACTAAAATCTAATTATTTTGGCAAAACTCGGGGTGTTAGGGATGAAGGAAAAAGCACACAGTGTTCCAAGAAAAAATAATTGGTGGTGGTTCCATCATGCTGTGTGTCCAGTGCCGGCTCTGGGAATCTTGTTATAGTTGAGGGGCACATGGATTCTACTCTATATCGGCCGATTCTGGATAACATTGTCCAGGAATCAGTGACAAAGATGAAGTTGCTTACACACATGGCATGGCCATTTCAGTTACCAGACCTGAATATTATTGAACATTTGTGCTTTGATTTTTAACCTCCTCCTCCTTTTGTTGTTCTTTATCAATACATTTGATCTCTCCTGTGTTTTATTTTGTGTCATGTCATTTTCTACTCCTTTATTAATCCATTTCTGGTTTGGGAGGGTGGCAATCAGAGCTGCCACCCAAGTCTCATAGCACCAGTCCCTCGCTGATCCTCCTGCAGGTGGTGGGTCCACAGGAAGATGGCTTCTCCGTCATCGACGAGATGGCCACGAGATGTTTTGTTTTGTATTAATCAAAATACATAATTATTGAATTATGTATTTTGAATTTTGAATTATAATTATACAAGCTTGCTTTCTCAGGTTTACATGTGTCTATATTAATCCAATTTGTTCATTGCACTAGTCCTTTGTAAACACACAAATCCTTGATATTTTGAATAGCCCAAAGTAGTAGTACTCATTTCCCAGCATTCCTATTCTAATAAAGGAGCTGACCTGTAGCTTGTCTGCAAAGGTATGTGATGCTGAAATCTATTTTTAGTAACTGCTGAACGTGCTATTAAGAGAGTTGTTTGCTGCTGCAGATGATAAAAGCTGCCAGGATTGCATGCAAAAGATTACTTGTACTTCAGATTGCGTGAGGAAAGTGAGCTCATTTACAAAGAGCTGGATTCAAAGTCTCCTCTATGCAAACTGACCGGTCGAAGGCTCCACCAGTACATGTACAACATGCAGCCGGTTTTCACAGGCTTCTCTGAGAGTGCTCGATGTTGCATAAGCACTGACAGGATGCAGGAGGAAAACTGATAGCACAACAAATTCTGCAGGGGTGAGAGACAAATCAAAGCAATTATAGTGTGTGAGAGGAGTCAACATGTTCACACCAGTCGCCCTTGATACGATTTCAGCCTAAATATGGACTTAGCCACATAAAATACTGGCAAAGAAGCAATACTCAAAATGCCAAATGTTTCAAATAAATTCAATTTTCATAGTGAAAGAATTATGCACAGTAAGTCTTTTTCAACAATAATGTATTTGCAATAGTCTCCTCTTGGCATAACTATCACTAGTAAGATTTGCTGGAGAATAAATAAACCAATGACTTGGGGCCTCAAGAAATTGAATACATTTTTTGACCAATCAGGAAGCTGCAGTGGGGAGCATGGGCGGGGGGGGGGGCGGTTTGCCAAATGCAAGCGCTAAGCACATCTAGAGGACAAACGCAAAGTTCACACATTCTTTCACGACAAAATAATACTGTGTCTTTGAAGTGTGTCACGCTGCTGTTAGTAAATGTAATAGGTTAATATTGTTTTTTGATATGCTAGTTGGTTCCAACTCCACAAAACAAAGTTGTTTTTGCTGATGTATTGTTTTCTCCAAAACAATACATTTAGGATGTCAACCAGAAAAGTTGAGAGGGTAATTTCAATATTTGCATGTTTGGCACAGGTCTACAAGATTTGTCTTTGTAACTGTGTAAGTATTTCCGGAGCTCTTGCACATGTTGGAAGACGCTGAGCTGTCAAAGAAAAGGGAAAATGCAGCTTCTTGTCACAACAGTCTGCAGATGCTATCTCGTACCAAACGGCCTCCTGCTGCAGACAGAGATGCCTCCGCGGAGTGTGCTGGTATTTAAAGCCACGCTCCATCTATTGATTTCTTTCCTTCGGCTACTACATCTCAGTTTCACCGGCTCCTTCTGTCTCTGCCCCTCTCCTGTTTCCACCTACTGCGTTGCCTGAGGAATGCATTGAATGTCCTTATCTTTGCCCATGAAAACACAAGGGTGAGCCGGCTGCAGAGCTTGAATTCTTCTGCAGATGTCGGCACACAGAAGAGCCTGTATGTTCGACATGTGCTCTGGCCACAAGCAAAGGAGATTGTAGACAGAAAGTGTAGACAATGCAAGTGAATGAGCTAAATGCCTTAAAGCTGGAGTATTTTTTTCTTTTACATACTGAGAGCTGATTGGTTTACAATTTTTTTCCTGTCCTGTACACACTGGGTCTTTTACGGATATATTCCAATGAGGTTTTGCTGCAAATGGCAAATCAATGAATCTGAATCTGATTTCATTTTCTTTTTTGGGGTCCGGCCGCCAAATAGACTGTCTGGTAAAACTCTAGCCCTCTGACAAATATCGATGATGACCCCTACCCTACACTATCAAATAGGTTACTTTGCAGAATGTTGTTTTTCAGAGAAAGCAGAAGTAGTCCTCTGTCAGCTTTCTTGTCTCCAGTTTTTTCCTCATGCTGACTTCTCCTTACACAGGAGAGGCCATTGATACTTGTGCACAATACATTGTCTTTGGCGGTCACAATGCTGTTGGTTCTAAATACACTGCCTCACGTCACGTATTCCTGTGCATAAAATTACGACACAGCCCCGACAAAAGCCATTCTGTAACCACATTCAGGCAGACGACACTGCACCCACAAATTGTTCCTCCATCAGTGACGGTTCTTCTCACATGTATGTGGAGAACACTGAAGACAAAAGGTCTTTGAGCCTTTTTCAAGCAAATCACATAATGAACATGCACTTTATGTGAAAGAGCAGCTGTTTATACACATTATTTATAATGTAGTTTGAAGTAGTTAAAATAATGACTACAATCACAACTGAATCTGTTTTGCGAGAGTCAAATCTTCATATCTCTCATTTCTCACCGAGCATATGAACAGAGCTTGTCAGAATTCACATTGACGCAGGTGCTGGGGTTTAGGCATTTCAGATCACAGCGGATTACTGTTTTGACATTTCTCTTAGTCACAAGTTTGGCAACACAATGTATCACAACTTACAGTTTGAACAAAACAGCAAATCAAAAACTGCAATGCAGTTCAAATTGCGATCAATTGAACTCTTCCTGATTGTACAAAATCTATTGTTTTTTTGTTTTTTTTTTACAATGTGAGCGCTCCATCGGTTTGAAATTTCTCCTCCAGAAAATCCTACTTTTCAGTGTTCATATAATATGTTTTTAATACTTACTTGACATCATAACACAGCATCAGCTGGCAAAATTATGTGCAATAGAAATGGAATAGATTTGAAGTTACTGACATCATTTTGAATGTTATATACCAAAACATTCACATTACAATTCAGACTCAGCAATTATTAACTTGAACATGCCAACCTGGAATGGGTTGAAGAAATAAGTTCTTTAGCTTTGATAAAAAAATAAAAAAGTCATTCCAATCTGCGGTTAGCTCTTGTGCTTCACATCAAGAAGGTCCTAGGTTTGATTCAACCTCAAGGCCTCTCTGTGTGAAGTTTGCATGTTCTCCCTGTGTCTGCGTAAGTTTCCTCCGGGTGCTCCAGTTTCCCTAATGACTAAAAACATATACAATAGGTCAGGAGGAGTGAGTGTGTGTTTGTGAGTGCGAATGTGAAACAGATTCAAGTTGGCCCAAGGCTACAATGTGGAGAGGTGTGTTCATTAACATGCACTGTCCTAAACCTATGAAATATTAATACATTAATAAATAATGTTATGAATCAGCAAGTTTCTAGAATTAAAAAATGAATATATTTGTTTTGACTAACATGCACAGTCCATTTACTGTGTTGTCTCCCACACATTGCAGATGACACATTTCTCACTGCATGAACCAGGCAGACTGTAAAAGAATTAATTTCAAGATTGTTTTTTCCGCTCCACATCTGCAGTCAGCCCAGAACTCCAACAATGGTTACAGGAAACAGGAGCCGCAAATGCAGCCGGGCAGATGCACAATCCTAATGACGTCAATTTCCCCTGCACAATTTGCAAGGTTTTTTTTTCCACCATTAAATGTACTACACTCTAGCTATAAAATGTGCCTTGAGTGGGAAACGCATCTACCAGTTTGCCTAAATTAATGAATGTGTTATTGTGCGTTGTACTATTGTCTCATTTAGAAGTTGTGCTGAGATGTCTCCATACATTTTGGAGATACATTTGATTATTTAACCTATTGCTTTATTTAAAAAAGTGGAATTTTGTAATCAAAACTAACTTGAGGATGTTGCTTGGTAATTTTTGCAGGGTATAATATTCTAATATGTCTGAAAACATATCAACATGTGTTGGTCTAGTCTGTTATTAAAAGCTGGAGTACTTTGAAACTACAAAAAATTACAAAGTATTAAAATCTCTGTAACTCACAAAACTGTTTAGTTCTATCACTTGTCTTTAGCCTCTGTCACATCTTTAGATTGGCTTTTTCGGTGAAAGAGGTCTCACTCAGCCAGTCGGGCAAGACGCTTTCTGTTGGGACAAAATGTATTTATGAAGGTTGGGTACTCCAGCTTTAATCATCTTTTATATTTTGTAAATATGATGTGTTTTGTGAGTTTCCTTTTAAAAGTGCCTTGTAAATTGGATGAATTTCTTTTGTCTACGACACTTTTTAGAGATTTTAAGTGGAGTGGTTATTCTACAGTTTAACAGTCCTTTTGCACTTCTCAACCCTTTAATAGATGTTTTCATGCATATCAGTTGAAATGTTTTTACATATTTGTGTAATAAAACTATTTGTGTAATGAAACTATTTGTGTAATGAAACATATTTGTGTAATGAAACTTCACAGATTATACAAATTAAAGCAGAAAATACCTCTACTTTTTCAATTTTTTTCTGGTTGAAACTTTATAATTATAATTTTCTTCTTCACAGGTCTTGAATGCGCAGAAAGCAGGATATAAAGCAGCCATTGTTCACAATGTAGACTCGGACGACCTGATCAGCATGGGATCCAATGATTGTACGTAACTGTCACTTGCACATGGTCTCCACATCAGTGAGGCTAATGAAATGTCCTGTTCCAAGTCACGTTCATATTTCCCTCTTCATGAGTTTATTAGTGAATGGGCATGTGCTGTTGCTATCGGCGCCACCTGTATGAAAAAGCCAGATTCCGTCGAACCTCTGAAGGACAGGGCCTGATTTGTGCGCTGATGGAGAGGGATTTTGTGGCACCGGCAGCTACAACAACTGCCACAATTTCTGCTACATGCATTTTCAGTGGCATTTTCACTGGTATCTAGAGATTTATTGGCATTTTCAGTGGAATACAGGAGATGCACTGAAAATATTTAATAAGGAGCCACATGGGTCATGGATTGTCATATTGTAGAGAACAGAATCAGGTCATGTCCCCTTTAATGATTGCCTAGAGTCTCCCAACAATAACGTCTCTTGAAGTATGGTTTTGTTTTCATGTCTTTGCAAAGTTTCATCCATGGGGTCCCGTACGTGTTGTATGTCTTCTCACAATTAGAATCCCATTTCAAGGCAACTCAGTTGTATTCCAAAATTGGCCGATACTGTATTTTTGTAATTTGTTCTTGTCTTTGTCTAAAATGTGCATGTAATTTTTATTTTTATGTAATTCTCATTATTTCTAGTGGATATCATGAAGCAGATAGACATCCCATCTGTTTTTGTGAGTGAAGAAGCGGCCAACTCTCTCAAAGAAGACTACACATTTGAAAAGGGGTAAGTCAAGTCAAAATATTTGAATTGTCTGCTTTCCTTCTCTCCAAACCTGGATAGTTGAATGTGAATGACACTATGACCTCTGTAATAAATGAGATCATTGTGGGTGTGTTGTCACTTGTCTTGAGATAATGGATATGGTGTTAAAACGTCCCAGCCTGTTGGATTTGCATAGTCATTCTAGACTAGCTTGCTAGGTTCTTGACACAATCTTTGGGTGTTAAATTTAACAGCTGAAATGTGGCAGAAAAAAGCTAATAGGCTAATACATATTTTTTTTCCTTCTGGTTTTGTCCATTTAGCTTTGTTTAGTCTTTGATTGTATTTTTTTTGTCATGCCTTATCTTGTTGTATGTGTTCTGTACTTTAAAAAAAAGTAGAAAATAATGTATGAACGTTATAAAAAAGTAAATAAGCATGAAAAGTCCTTACTTGGCCTAGGTGGTGGCCAACACACTACATTATACTTCCAGATGTAATTTCTTGTGGCACTTTCAAAATCAGATATATTAATTTCAAACTTGTTCACATTCAATTAAAAACAAACCAGGATACAAAATAGACAGCAAAACAGTCTGAAAAGATGTTGCTTTTTTGGCTCCAGCCCTAAACACAAAACACACATGCCGACAAAAAACAGGCCCCAAAACTCTCTGACCCTACACATCACTCGGTTTAAAAAGTGCTTACGTTGAATTAGGTCTGACTACCTTTTTAATTCTTCTGTTAAATAGTTCAAAATGTTGCATTGTTTTGCAGTGGGCACGTGGTCCTCCTGCCAGACTTCAGCCTGCCCCTGGAGTATTACCTAATTCCTTTCCTGATCATTGTGGGGATCTGTCTCATCCTCATCGTTGTCTTCATGGTAGTAGTTTTCGTTTTTTGTACTGCGTAGAAGAAGCTTGTGGTCTGATCTTGGTTGTTCGATGTCCAGATTACAAAGTTTGTCCAGGATCGGCGGAGAGCTCGCAGAAGTCGTCTGCGCAAGGATCAACTAAAGAAACTTCCCATTCACAAATTCAAAAAAGGTAATAGATATATGCATATAAATGTACTGTATGTTTTTGAAGAAGTACACATTTCCACCTCAATTACTCAAGTAGTTGAGACATTTTTTTAACCCTTGTACAACTAATGGAAGTAGTAGGGAGTAGTAGAAGTAATTTTGCACATTTCACAGACCAAGGTCATAAAGGTTTACAAAATAGACTACTGCAATTACTATAAAAGGTATATCTATTTTTGATTATTATTGTTTTTATGTAAGGGACCCAAGGTGGTCCCAAAAAACACTCAACATTATGTCCATAAAAGCAGTAAATACAATCAGTGACAAAGGGCAGCCTTGGCGGAGGACGACATCCACCTTGAGCAGGTCTTTCTTACTTCTGATGCAAACGCAGCTCGGACTCCGGTCATACCGGGACCGGACTGCCCTCTGCAGAGGACCCCAGACCCCGTACTCTCGGAGAACCCCACAAAAGACACCCCAGGGTACACCTTCTCCAGATCCACAAAACGGACAGGTTGGGCGAACTCCCATGAACCCTCGAGTATCCGATGGAGAGTATAGAGCTGGTCCAGTGTTCCTCAGCCGGGACAAAAACCACACTGCTCCTCCTGAATCAGAGATTCAACCATCTGTCTAAGTCTCCTCTCGGAGTAGTCCTTACTGGGGCTGAGGAGTGTTCATTTATTCATACATTTTCAACCCCTTTATTAGTCCATTTCTGGGCCGGGGGTGCTTTTAGAAATGGGTGCAGTGTTGCCAACTTAGCGACTTTGTCGCTAGATTTAGCGACTTTTCAGACCCTATAGCGACTTTTTTTCAAAAAAGCGACTAGCGACAGTTCTAGACAAAGCATTAAAATCATTAAATGTTGTTAATGTTGAAATTATTTTTGTACATTTGTAGTTCTAAACATATTTAGGGTGTTTTTTACTCACTTTTGTCTCTCCCACGACGTTATTCCTCTCTCCTACAGCGTCCGTTACAGTTATTTACAAATTGCCAATTATGCAAATTAGGCGATGACGTCATTTAGCGACTTCTAGCGACTTTTGGGACAGCCAATAGCTACTTTCCTTACTGAGGAGTTGGCAACACTGAATGGGTGGCAGCTCTCATTGCTACCTATTTCTCAAAGCACCGACCCCTCGCTGATCCTCTGCAGGTGGTGGGTCCACAGGAAGATGGCTGCTACATCAGTGGTGCCACAGCCTTGGTGCTTCAGCGGGAGCTTCAGGCAATGTGGGGTTAAGTGTCTTGCCCAAGGACACAACGACAGCAAACATTAGTGGGAGCAGTAGGAGTAGGTCCCGTGATGGGCTTGAACCCACGACCTTCAGGCCCAATGGCCAATGCTCTACCAACTGAGCTTCTGACGCCCCTGAGTAGTGTGATCCCACGATAATGGGAACACCCTCTGGTCCCCATTCTTCTAGAGAGGGACCACCCCCCCGATGGTCAAGCCTTTTTTTGTAATCATTTTGATGATTATGGCTTAGTCCATTTTCAAAATATTAACATTTTCTTAAGTGTTTTATTTGAGGTTTTTTCTGTGTTATCAATTTTATAAGTAGTTTCACATTGTAAGATGAATTACAAAAGTAAAAGACTTCTAAATTATTATTTTTTTTCCGGGTTTCACCTGCACATAGGACACATTTACAGTAAATGACATCCCTACATTGGAATGCATACTCACACACATGGCCTTTTTACAGCTATACCAGCATGATGGTGGAGAAGTAAGGAAATAAAGTTATTATTGATTAGTGTAAACAAGTGGTTAATTTTCAACATAGCAGCAACATAGCATAGTTTTCTTTTGCCCCACATGATTTGGTCCAGTGCAGAGATGCAATCACTACATTACGACACGTCATTCCTCTGCACCTTGGAGCTAATCAGATTAATATGGTCTTGATTCACCCAAAGCCTTTTACCAGAGTAGAGCTCCACTTTGTGAAAACAGAGTCATGACTGAATTCGTGAAATGTGCTGTGTCTTTACTGCATTCACAGTAAAGACACACTAATCAGTTTTTTGAACATTGCCATCCCAAAAATGTTACTCAAATTAATGTTCATAATCAACATCTGTTATATAAGCATAATGGGTTACTATTTGGGCCTGACCAATTCTTATTTTACTTTAGTTTGATTGGGTTTAGGAAGTTACTGCCCTCACCCAGCCACCATTCACTCACTTGATCTGCACGTTGTTTTCTCCACCACAGCTAATTAATTAACTAATTAATTAACTGTAAACAATTAGGACAGTTTTTGGTTTTTCAGAATCCCTTAAAATCTGCTTATTTACACATAAACTGTGACTGAATAATAAAATTGTAAAATCCACCAATGCACTAAACTTCAATACACTTGAATTTCAGTGAATTGATACGTACTCTTTTATTTATATACCGCCTTTCACAGACCAGAGTTACAAAGCGGTTTACAATTGTTATTTTTGGGCATTTGTCCTCTCACTCCACACAGAGATGGGAGCGGGGCCAGTACAGGAGGCGCATGCCAGACCTATTGTACATGTTTTTAGTGGTAGGGGAAACCTTAGTACCCGGAGGAAACCTACGCAGACACGGAGAGAACAGGCAAACTCCACTCAGAAAGACCTTGTTCCGACCGGGATTTGAAATTATTGTTGAAGTTGGTGAAAGCAGCAGTGACTGCAAACACTTGGCTTAAACCACAATAAAAACATTGAAATGAAATACTGATATACTAAGGCAAAGGTTTGATACAATATTTTAATCCATATAAATATTGTAACAAACCAAGATACTCGATTATAATCTGTATCAAACCACAATGATGATAGATAACAAAATAGTTTGAAAGTTTGGAAGTTTGGCCTTTGCTTCGACATTGATAAACTTGGGATCAACACAAAGGAAGTCTGTAAAAATGATGAATGTTAATTAAAGCCGTGGTGCCCTTGTAATTGGGACACAATAGGAGCCTGATCGGCTGAAAGTAGCAGAATATTTGTGTTGATGTGCAACATTGTGTAATCCAGCTGCCACAATAGTCTTTGTTATTCCCTTTACCAGCACTGCTTTTACTTTAGCCTTGCATCATTGTTATTCATTTAAAGCAGATGAATTATGGTAGGAAGAGTTTGGTCTTGGCTTTGACTTACTCTACTTTGAATAGTAAACACCCAGTGACTTCTGATTCTGCCCCTGACCTCGGGAGTGAACCCTGCTCAGCTCTGTTTGGGCGGGACAGGGAACAGAGCAGCTGGAGCAACTGTTTACTGCTCTGGTCTGATCATCAAAGTGTTACAGAGAAAACTGTCAGAAGACAGTTCAGTGTGGTTCATCTGAGAACCCTGCTCTGTTATACATCTAAATGTAATTGTAAAGGATTCCAAAAATATTCAAAAGATCTTCACAATAAACATATACAGCCGGAGTAACACCTTTCATTTAGCAAAACTGGGGTATGTATAGTATTTGCTCAAATGGGATCACTGTAATGAAATTACCAACTGATTCTTCAATTGAGGGTTAAGTAATGCTCCTGGGAGGCACTTTGATCAGCTTGACCGGCTTAATTTGTTCTTTAACATGAGGTGACCAGTGTAGCCTATAGAGTTATGGCTTTGCTGGAAAGCTTTGCATGCAACTTGTTATTTTTATTATTCAAGTTGTTTGAATAAGTACTCTTAAACTTTCACTTTTGTAGTGAGCAGTCTAGGGCACTAGACTGCTCAGGGCACAGCAATCTGAGTTATTCCTGCCAAAAAATATTATCACCCTGAGAAAAACCATTAATTGTCTTCAAATTGCACAAACATGGAGTAAGGAACACATGTATCCTTTATCACTTTAAAATACCATTGATTGGAAAGAAAGCGGAGCCGGGTTTTTTTTTTTATTCGACTCCCCATCCTTTTACGGTCACATGCGAGCTTGGCTCAGATACAGAGGACCGAGTCAGGGAAAACATGCTTATTTAGGTCTTGCATAAACATAGGACTTGCTCCCTCTTCCTCCTGTCTCGCGCTAGAAAAGAAGAGTGAAGAAACCTTTGGAATTCAGGGAGTGCAGACTCATTCCTCAGCTTCAATTTTGTCCTAAATTGTTATTATCCTCAGTACATTGTTGAATAAGAAAATGAAAATAAGAAAATGGTGTTGCTTTTAATAATTTAAGCATATTTGGGCTGAACCCCCTCTTCCTGAAGTTATTCATGTGATTCCTTAAGAGACTGGTCAAGAGTGCCCTGCATATTAGAAGTACAGTAATTGACATGGTTTGGTCTCTTTCTGACCCAGGGGACAGCTATGATGTTTGTGCCATCTGTCTGGATGAGTATGAAGAGGGAGACAAGCTCAGAGTGCTACCCTGCTCCCATGGTGAGTTTGCGGTCACTAATATATATAGCTTTTGATATTGTGATATTCTTTGTCTTGCAATTAGTTCATGAAATGATTTATTTCTGCCTTCAGCCTACCACAGTAAATGTGTGGACCCCTGGCTGACCAAAACAAAGAAAACCTGCCCTGTATGCAAGCAGAAGGTGGTCCCATCGCAGGACGACTCCGATTCTGATTCGGAGGAGGGGGACAGTGGCCCAGATGAGAACGAGGATGTGTCTGAGAGCACCCCCCTGCTGCGCTCACTGGCCTCCACCAGCGCACACTCCTTTGGTACCATATCAGCCACATCACGTTCTGAGCAGGACCAGGAGTCTTCAGAGTATGAGGATGAAGAGCTGGATAGTAGTGACAGCGAGCAGGAGGTGACCGTGGAGACTGTGGTGGTGCAGATGCAGCAGGCCTGTGCTGACAACCACGACATGCCCAGAGCCTGATACAGTCAGGCCACTGTGTGAGCTTTACACAAGACTGAGGGGGGTTCAAATGTGCTCTCCCACATTAAATGTGTCACGTGGGGGACTGTTCTGATGACATGTAAGAGGCGATGTACTCTGTACAGTAGCGGCTCAGTACTGTGCTAATCAAGGAGCAGAAGCTTCAGTTTCTACAAAGTGATTTCTTTACTGTATGTATGAAAATGTCTAAATCAAATTGTTTGATTTTTCTTAAAATGCCATACAAGGACTCTGTAAATACATTAATGCCATGCATCCTTATTGTGTAAGTTAGTCTCATGTAAACATAAGACCGCTGTAAATTGTTTAGCCAACTTTAGAAACACCACTCCTGTCTAACGTGCCACAGGTTTACAGCTGAAAGCTAAAATGGCTGATGCACTGTCACATGTTTGCCCCCAATGGTGGTAAATGACTTGGTTTGAGAAACCAATCACCTAATGTTGATTTATAGGCCTTAACACATTAAGATTGTATCTTTATTTAACTCATGTTCATTAAACTGTTGCCTTTCAGCTGTAATTTCTCCTAACATGTATTTACATCAGTTCAATTAAACAAGATTTAACCAATGACTTTAGCATTTGTATTTACAGATCTTGACAGATTTCATTTTACTGGTTTATGATTAAGAGCATATGCATATGGTCATTTCAATGTCTAAACCATATTTCCTTCATACATTTAATGATTTAGGATTTCATATTTGATCCCTAATCAAGACATGAAAGCCTCAGTACAAATACTTCTAAATATTAAGTTGGTCAAAATGGGGAGCATTAAGATGGTTCCTGTCAATGATTTACAGCACTAAAATATTGACAAGCCCTAGCAGAACAGGCTTGAATCTCCCAAAACTCCTGCCCTGAGGGACTTTATTCCTATGAAAATGTTCCTTTGCCAATCTCCCACAGTATGGAATTTAAATGATTTACCCCAATGAAGTGTTATGTATGGCCATGGAGTCAATTTCCCATAAAGTTATACTGTCACTTAAAACAGGATGCAACTACATCCTGTTGCATATGACTGGTTACTTTGACAAAAAGATAATGGAAGCCATCAAGGAAACCCTCTATGTAAATTTGAATAGTATCCAAATAGTTTGGACATACCAATTCTTAAAGTGGACATATCGTGTTTTCAAATAATTGATTTTTACATCTAAATCATTAATTTGTGGCCTATATAAAGCATAACTGCAATGCCTGGGTCTGAGTCTCATTATTTGTAGCTCCACGGGCCTTTCTTCTACACCTGTTCTGAGGTGCGTCTGAGAGCAACCTGTTTTGGTGCTGTCTCTTTAAATGCAAATGAGGCGCTTTTGACCACGCCCCCATTCAGGTGACACAGGTTCAACTCCACCCCGAGCGGCCATTTTTGTAATTTCTAAGCACAGATACAATTATCTCATAGAAACTTCTCGGTACATCGCAACCATGAAGCAGTCCTTCCTCATTGACTGAAAGCAAATGTTTCATTCTTAGTCCAGTCTTATTATCGACTCTCTTTTTAGCTTTGGGATCCATGCGCACAGTCTATGATGTATGATGTTTACACGCCGGTTTGTTTACAACAGCGGCCGCCTGGCACGGGCCTACGTCGCAGGACATGACACTACGTTGACAGAAATGTTTACATTGAATATTACTTATGCATAATTTTACAGCATTTAAAAACGTTAAGAACGTTTTTCCTTCTACAGAAGGAAAGAGACGCATGCGCCTCCGGAGCCGCAGGTTGCCGACTCCTAGTTTATACAGTATGTGGAAGCAAATACTGTAGAGGATCAGGATATGTGCAGTTTCAACAATAAAATAAAATGCAATAGTCTACATTAAGGAGAGTAATAAACATGTCTCAGAGTGAAGGAGGTGGACACAGACAACACTATTGTTTGTTACAGGGATGAGAATTGGTCAAAAAAGACTGATGTGACTGGTCAGCCACAACACAGTGGAGAGGCTGCGAGCGGCTGGACGCTCACAGCCTCTCGCAGCCGCTGGACGCGGAAGCTGCTCATTACAAAGCGGCCGCAGATGCCCCGGAACACTGCGGCCGCTGAGGTGGCGGAATCCCGTTCGAGTACATACAGCAGGTGCCCCGCGGATACGCGCGCCCCGCTCGAACAATTCTCAACGGATTTACACTTCTCATAAAAATGTGTTTTGTATGAGGCAGACAGACCGGCCCAAATATGGGCATCGGCCCTTTGGGCATTGCCCGGTACGCCCGATGGCCAGTCCAGCCCTGTTCGCTGGCATCCTTGAGCTTGGACTACAAATTCGAAGTGATGCACAGTAGAGGAGGGCTGGGCCGAAGTGTTTTGTTAGACGCCCATGCCCTTATATAGCAGTCTCGCTGCAAATACTGTGACGTAATAATTCTAAACACGTAATAGAGAACGGCAAAATCTGAACGGGTTGAAAAATCTTACCCAAACAGAATATGAAGTGTTCTCTGCAACCCATGGAGACTGATTTCAACTTTTTTGCACTTCTAGAGGCTCCAACTACACAACATAAGGCATTTAAGGCATAAAAAGTGGATTTTTCATGATGTCCCCTTTAAATTGCTCAGTTTTATACAAGTGGAACTAGTAGGAACATAGAAACTTCAAATCCTTCATACCATGTTACCCATGAAATGCATCTCAAACAATATTGAAATGTAATGTAAAGGGTGCAGAATAATTTGAAAAACAAAACAATTCACTGGTTGGAATAAATTTATTTGATCTGTCTGTAAACAAGGTGATAAATCAATTTATGGCAATTCTTGGTTTATGCATATGGAATCAAATGCATTAAAGAGGTTGTATCCCAGATGTAAGAAAAGTGTTGAAAAGAAATTAAAATCAGCAAACAGGACTTGAATACACATATCCCACAATGCCTAACAGTTGAGCAGAAGCTAAAAAAAAAAAAACAATTTATTAGTGCCAATGAAATGTGAACAGTGGGTCAAAAATCCATCTTACAACAACAGATCTCTACTTTATGGCACAGGATACACAGATTCTGCAGATGTGTTCAACAAGACAAATGAGTCATTGTTCCAACCAATTGCATCTTCAGTCATTTCTACTTTTAATTGATATATTGTGGACGTCGCATTTAGCAGTACTTAGCATGAACAGATCATGCGATACCCCACTTCAGTCGACCAGAGTAGAAGGCAATTTATTCCACAGTTTTAGAGTTGTCAACATAGCATGGTATTGTACAAATGCTTAACAATAAAGAAAAACAAACAATGACATGTCTTCTCCCACCCTTACCTCCCCTGTAACTTCATATTTTAACCATGTTACAATGTGTGGTTAGTGTCCTTCTGATAAGGTAGTAGTCACCCTTTACATGACCTGGAGCATTTGTAAAAAAGCACCCAGTTAAACTTGGTCCAAAAAAAAAAAAAATAATATATATATACAGTTGGGTATATAATGGGATATCCAGAGTCCAAAACAATGGCAGCCTTTCATAAACAAAACATTACAGAAGCTGGCAAACAAACAAAAATTAAGTGCCTGAACCTTCTTCACTGCGGAATGTCCATGTTACTGTGATTGACAGCAGGGCAGGGGGCGAAGCTACCAGCATCTATCAACCAGTAACGTTTTGTGATCTGATCCAAGCGCCACTCAAGCCCCTTAGTGTTATGTTATGTGAATAAGAGGTAGGGAAGGGAAGAATTTGGCAAATGAAGTAATTGAAAACTGTTCACGATAGGAGTGGTCTCACCTTGCAAAGAAAAGTAAATGGGAAGACATGATGCTTTTCCACATAAGTGCTCTAAAGGCATCAACAGATTGGGAGTGAGTTTAACAGGGGAGTGTAAAGGGCAGCGTGACTAACAAACCTACTTCATATCAACGGAATATTCTTTGTTTCAGGTTATAGCCTGCTGGTCTGCGTGTCCAAGTATAAATTTGACATCATCCACGCTATTTACTATGGTTAAACTTTCAAATTGGTATACACAGCGTGTTTGCGTTCAAAGGAGGTGGGATGAGGTGTCGTAATATTTCAAAGTAAAAAACAAAAAAAAGGCAGAAAGAAAAGACTAAGCTAGAAGTCATGTGAAATGAGACAGGGTGGTAAGGGTGAGTTGCTAGGTGGCCAGGAAAGGGCTGCTTTAGAATCCAGACTTCCTCAGGTAGGCAGCCATGTCATATGCTTTCTTGTTGAGCTTCCCTCCATGGATACCATCTTTTCCCATGACTAAAACCAATGCTGGAGTACAAAGGAAAAAAAGCAAAATAAATGAATAGACATGATGGTTGCACCATTGGACAGAATCATTTATTGCCACTCCAAAGTAAAGTGGAAACGTTCCTGGGACTTTATTAATACAGGACTGCTTTGGGGCAAACTTGGGCATTTAAACAGTTATTTTTGCTTTTTATTTGATTTCTTTAACATTTTTATGTTTTTTTTTCATATATTTTTAATGTTATTTTTTAATCCCTCAACTACACAAACCCAGGTCTAGAACCCTGAATCCCTCAAATATTTTGCCATTGAGTATGCCTTCTTATTCAATCCTCCTCCATGGACCCCTTCTTTGCCCATTACCAAGACCAAGACTGGAAGAAAAGAGACAGAAGGAACATTTAGAAAGAATAGATCACAGTGAAAAGACTAGAGCCACAAACAGCAGGTGAGCAGCTACATAGAAGACCTTCTAATAAGTGCTGCTGGTGGTAGACAAGACATCTCACACAAGAACAAAGTGAGGACAGCAGGAAAGGTAGGAAGAAACTGGAAATTAAAAAATTCCATGGGCATTAGGAATAGTTTTTAGTTTAATACAACTAAAATAACAGATGTGTTAATTATAGTGAGATTTCTTCAACTTACCAGCAGCAAGGCATACAAATAAGACTTTATAATTGAGATATAGTGGTGCACATGCAGGTTCTCTGCATGCTTGTACCCCTCCTCAATACATGTGTTGTCTATGAAGGATGAATTGCAAGTGAGAAAAGTAATACTTAGGATTACACAGGCGTGCAAGATGGCACATGCAGTTTAGGTCATTCTGGGAGAACAAAACATGAGGCCAGAAACTTAAGTTTGGAGCGTGAAAGTTGTAAAAGGGCAATGCTGGGGCCCAGAAGGGAAAAATATCAACGGCACTCAAGTCTAACTGAATCCAATATATAACATAGTATAAAACCTTACTGAATGATCCTTGTGGAACTTTTTCAAATTTTTTAGCACAATAAAAAATATTCCTTACGTATTAAAAAAAATACACATTTTTGTACATAAAGAATGAGTACATTATATATTGAGGAAAGGTGAATCCAAGCTCAAACCCTCATGCACCCGTACACTCCAAAACTACACTTGACATCTACAACAAAAGCAGCCTCTACTCAAGTAGCACCACTAGACTTCTACTTTTCTAAGTTAATGAGTCATTCTCACCTTTGCCGGCTTTCCCTACGGAAATGTTGTATGTTGGCTCTCCATCTACACTCTTTGTCCGGATGTCCATCGTCCAGTCGGACTCAATATTGAGGCTGTCTCTGATTACGGAGCACTTTTTACTGCCTAGGGTCATCCCCGAAGTGAAGAAGCCCTCCCGATCCTTTCCGGTTAACACATCAATTTCTTCAGCCTAGAAAAAAAGAAAAGAAATTAAAGTACATTAATAAAATGCACACAAGGCAACAGATTTGTGTAAAGTCATGTTAACTGAAAGTTGCATGTTAAATATATACCATGGTGTACTATAATTAATGTTTAACCAAGAGTCTGAGGAAGCATATCTATTGGATATCTCAGCGGCCTTGTCGAAGCTGACCCCCGTATCATGCCAAGACGCTAAACGGCATTGCATCACAACAGTATTTTATCAGATGTATGAAGGACATCAAAAGCTGAGGATTCTAGCAAAACTAGAGCTCAGAACAAAAGGCGTCGCCCTTCGGTTCAGAAATGCAGAGTCATAGCAAACAAATAGAAACAGGCGACGGACAGTTGAGGTTAGCTGAGCAGCTAGTAGCAGTGGGAAGGAAGCCTTTTCGGATCGATTATGGAAACGTCAAAGGAAGTAACGAGACATATCCTCAGCATACAATTTAATAAAAAAAATGAAGGCCATAATCTAAAACAAAGCATTCAAGTAGACACCGCTGTGGAACATACGCTACGTGGAATGTATGCAAAATTGTAATAAGCAAAATAAATCTATTTTTCAATTAAAAATTATTCGACCAAAGGGTTAATCTGATTTTATTGTCCGTCTAATCAGTTATAAAAAAAAAAGGCAAAATGGAGGCAGCACAAAAGCATTGCACGAATTTAAGCCATCAATATCGTCATTTGTGCAGACTAATGCCAAAAATACAAGAGAGAAAGGGACTACATAAGTGTCCAAGTATTTTTTGTAAAGATTGAAGGCATGACTTAAAAATGAATAAAAAAAGAGCAACCCGCCATCTTGAAAACAAGGGGCGGTGCAGCAGAGCGATTCACAAAAGAACCTTGCGGACGAAACTAACAAAGTGTGTGCGCAGCCTGCGCTAACAGCGTTAGCACAAATGATGTGATTCTTCTAACGGGAGCGGCCCGATTAAAGCTAGCACTTTTGCCAATTAGCGCTCACATCACATTCCTCTGAAATGATCTAGCCTTATAACGCAAACTATTGTCGCGAAAGCACAAAATATATGTCAAGTATACTCTGTTCAGGGCAGACTTTGTACCATATTCATACTTGTGCTTCGTCCCGGAGTCACCAGTATTTTGAGCTAGTTAATGCTAACAAGCTAACTAGCGTCTAGCCCTTAGCTTCGTTATGCGACTGGCATTTTCCTTTTCGTAAAAGGCACTTTGTTGTTAAAATGATAACGTTTTATCGGCCGCGGATAAGTTTAATCAATTAATAAATAGTAACGAGACAAGAAATAAAGCGAGAGGTTGTGTTTGCGTGCTGCCGGAGACCATGTGTGCGGTGCTTCCCAACCCCATTCAACCCAACAAGGCCCGCCTGTGCATAGACGGACTGCACTTCAGGTGCAAATTTTACTCCTAGTACACAACTTAGTACCATATGTAGGGTGTACTAACCGTGATGTTGGCGAAAGTACCGCCGGCATGCGATGCCCAGACGTATTTGGCGTCCAAATACCCAACAATGGCCGAGTCCTGGCAGTTGCCATCAGCCATCAGGTTGTCCACGTAGTTTTGCCAGGACATTTTGTCTAATTAGTTCTAACAGGAAAGGGTGTGATGGGTTAAGATAGGTCGTTAGCGCCTCTCGAAACGACAAGAAAGCTGCGATGGTCAGTGGTTTAACGGGCCTCCAACAGATAAAACCCTCCTGGCTCCGCACGTCCCGGCTTTCTTCTGCTCTCGGTCTTGAAGCGAAGAGAGGCGCTGCAACAGGACAACCGCTTGGGTGTAGTCCTTGGCAAATCACTCCGCCGCGGCAGTGCTTTGCCACAATGCCCCATCCTTCATATACGCTGTGGCGGAAGAATACCTTCTGATTGAAGTTCATATAACTGGGTTTTTATTATTCTATATACTTTGTTTGGAAGGATTATCTCTGGTCATATTTAGAATAGTTTTATATGAGTAAAGTGGCACCTTGGGCGTTTAAAAAGTAACATTGAGTCGTGGTGAAAAAAATCCCCCTTATACAAAATACTGAAAAACATTGTAAATCCTAATTATTGTTACGAGCGTTGGAAATGTTATACAGTAACATGTAAGCCTTCCTTCGACTCAAGTCCAAGCATTACATGGCCTAATGGCTAAAGGTGTAGATTTGCATCTCCACTAACCTGACTCTAACTACTTTACTCCTCTACTACACACTTATTTTTTCCTCCTTGGTAAACATAATGATCCTTTGGCTATTATCTTCCTTAGTATACCTCAAGAGAGAATATTTTGAAGTGTGGAACTTTCTACTTCCTATTTCCATAGAAGCTGATTTTGCGAACCCCTTTAATTAGGCCTTAGCTTATGGAAATAATAAAAGAGAACCTAAAAATGGAAATAAAAGAGAACCTAAAAATGGAAATATAGAAAACAGATATTTACTCAGTGTATACTTCCAATTCAAATTTAAGTTACAGAAATAATCAGATCAACATTTGTTTGACTTGTTAATGTTATATTTGATTGCAGTTGTTTAACAATCATATTGCATTGGATCTTTCAACCATTCCAATGATAGAACCTCCTTTGATGTCAATGGACTGATGGATGTGCGATTGGCTCTAAAGATGATTAACATCAAGACAGAAACTAGGTCTCTTTTGAACCATGTACATTTTGTCACATGACAGTTAATCTTTCACCGCATTCGGATGCTATGATTCAAAGCATAGGACATCAGGTCTTAGCACATAATGTGCTTTCATATGTATTTTTTTCTGATTTTAAAAGTGAATAAAAAAATCAACAAACTTTTTTACTTTACACTTACGTATCAAACAAGACTATAAGTCATCACATATGGATCTTTATCTCTGCACTCTTCACCATGAGCTTACAGCTGTCCCACCTATGGGCACAGGGGGCGCCCGTGGTACTGCAGACTAAATTCACGAGGGCTACCCAGAAAAAAGTCCCATTGAACTCAATGTAAATTAAAACAGCTCGACCTCAGCTGACAGAGAACCTACAGCTTTCATAAAGATCGGATTTTGTGGGGATTTTAGTGTCCCTTGTCATCCTGAACCTTTTTTCTTCTTAAATCCTTCGGTTTTCTTTAAATCCACACTTTACTGCCACAAACTCTGTTCCTTTCCTTCCCGCTCTAACTCTGCTCTTCCGCTGCTCTGATGATCAGCTCTGATTGGTCAGAGCGCGGCCGAGCCCCTCTGTGCGCATGAAAGCCACACATGCACGTTTGGCGCGCTAATCCACTGCGCAGAACCGGGAGGACCAGACGATGCCCAAATATAGGCGAGTTCAGCTAATCTCCCGGTCTCCGCGAAGTCCCATGCGCTACTGAGCACAAGCCATTCATTTGAATAGGGCGCCTTCTTGGATCTCCGGGGCTTGGTCGGACCAGTGAGGGCGGGTCCCAGCTCAAAAGTGGCCAAAATGACGTGCGCTGACATGCTTGCAATACCACCCCGGGGCGATGGGGGTGGACCCAGAAGAAGAATTAGCCAATGTTAACATATAGCATTGACAGACCTCTCAAAAACGTCTTTACAGGATGGACCAAAAGTTGGCTCTTGGCCCAAAGCTCCGTTCCACATGTGTGTCAATGCTGAGGGGGGTGATTTTTTTTGGTCCACTCTAGTTTACTCGCGGGGAATTTTTGAAGTCTCTCGTTCAAATGAATGGAGCTGCGCCGCCTGACGCATGCGCAGATCCGTTTTTTCACAATTTTCTTGTGGGCGGGACCACTCGCGGCCATCTTGGATTGCTCCACGAAAGCACTTTTGATGGCCAACTCCTATGAACGGCGGAGATAGGCGTGACTCTGTCCGTTAATATTTACAGTCTATGGGTCGGACGTGACTTCCAGTGACAACACTCGTTGACCAATCAGTGTAAGGCAGTGGGCTGACGTCATGTAATGGTGTAGCTTCGGCCCGGATAGAACCACTGTCGAGGTGGTACAAAAAAAGTACCCTTATCCCAAGCCCAACCCTAGTGGAAATAACCGCGCCGTACCGTACCATTACTGTGGAAAAGCGGCATACTATGTCTGTCTCTGTGTGCGTACGTGTGTGTCTATCTCGGTGTGCGTATGTGTATGTCTGTCTCGGTGTGCGTACGTGTGTGTCTGTCTTGGTGTGCATACATGTATGTCTGTCTCGGTCTGCGTACGTGTATGTCTGTCTCCGTGTACCCGTCTGTCTCTGTGTGCATATGTGTATGTTTGTCTCTGTGTATCCCTCTGTCTCTGTGTGCATATGTGTATGTTTGTCTCGGTGTACCTGTCTGTCTTTGTGTGTGTGCGTACGAGTGTGTATGCGTGATATGGAGCAGTCCTTTACCTAATTATAGTAAATCTTATAGAAAATACAAACTTCTTACTTTAATGAATACTTTGTTTCATAAAGTCTTATGTGTGGTGAAATCAGACACGTTGATGATGTGTGTGACGTGGAACACATTGTTGGTGTTCCCTAGATCTATGGGTGTCCCGTTTCTTAGGGAGAATATCAACAAGTGTACTCCCTTATTGGAAGGTACTTTTCTGTTGAGGGCACTCATAACTCAAGTGCCTCCAGAATTGGGACACTAGGTCTTTGATCACCATACCTTCACATAGGTGCTCATTTACAATGTGTCTTTGAAACTTGCTGATAAATGAGAGTAGACTCAATAGACAAAACTCCAAAGAGTTGAGTCACTTGTACTACCAGGAGCTGCTCTAATAAATGTATCCTTCTAATTTGCAAGTCAAAGTTTTCAAAGGGGAAGCAGCATGGTATAATTAATATTAGCCTTTACTTACATAAATTGTGCTACAATTTACAGTTGGGGTTTTAACGTTTTTCACATCCCTCATCCATGCACAAACAAAATGAGTATGAGATTTTTTGGTGAAAGACCATAGCAAAGTGGCAGACAAATCAACACAAAATTAAACATGATTTAATGTTTTGAGATTTAAAAAGAATTGGGCTTGCAAAAATGTTCAGTCACATTTTTCATAGTCTCATTTCCTTTACGAGTGTGCCTTGTGACAAGTGTTGATGCTTATAGCTCATCGATGATGGTCTTAGAGCTTTGATAAGAGAACAAGTGTCAGTACAACATGCACTAGATGGTCCATGTCTGCATAAAAGTTTCCCCTACGACAACAAGTATTTACAATAGGTATGAATCTAATGATAGATAGATAGATAGATACTATATGGATCCCCCGTAGGAGAAATTCAGGTGTTCAGCAGCAGAAGACTCATCCAGGTTTGTTATACAGTCTGCCAAAGGAACAAAGGATCTCTATAAACGTTCCGTTCGACAGCGCAGTGACATAAGCCTGTTGCTACAATTACTCCTCTGAGCAGCCATAGTCTTATGTAGAGGGTGTCTGGAGCTACCCAGGAGTTACCTCACATAGCCTCCAGGGCCATCCAGGAGGCTGCCTGCGAGCTCGGGCTACGTACAGGTCCTGCGGCAATGGGAGGCTGCAACCAATCACCTTCTCTGCAGAGCGCACGATGCGCTGTAACCTCTGCTTGTCCCTGACTGTGGCTCCAGCGAACCACACGGTGATGGAGGAGGTGAGGATGGACTCTATGATGGCTGTGTAGAACTGCACCAACATCTGTGCAGGCAGCTTGACTTTCCTGAGCTGCCGCAGGAAGTACATCCTCTGCTGGGCTTTTTTGATGAGGGAGCTGTGGGGTGCTGTATTTATAATCCCAGAGTCCGAGACATTCTTCCCTAGACGCACTCACTGCTTCCTGTCTGTCAAGAAGTCAGTGATCCACCTGCAGGTGGAATCAGGCACGTTAAGCTGGGAGAGCTTGCCCTGGAGCAGGGATGTCAGGATGGTGTTGAAGGCAGAGCTGAAGTCCACAAACAGGATCCTGGCGTAGGTCCCCGGGGAGTTCAGATGCTGCAAGATGGAGTGAAGGGCCAGATTTATGGCGACGTCTACAGATTTATTGGCTCTGTAAGCGAACTGCAGGGGATCCAGGTGGGCGGAGGTGGAGGACTTGAGATGAGAGAGGACCAGACTCTCGAATTACTTCATGACTACAGATATCAGAGCCACGGATCTGTAGTCATTAAGGGTGTATTCAGACCAGAAAAGTCCTTTGCTTCGCTTGCTTGGTCCGAACCAAAAGCGGACCAAACATTTTTCTTTTGGTCCGGTTCGTATTCAGACTGTACTTTTTGCAAGTGAACTTTTTTTTAAAAACATATTGACGCGCGTGACGATCGGCGCTCCTATTGGACAGCAAGAGCTCACGGAGAATCGATGCAGAAATGGAGGAAAATATCAAGCTCGTACCATGGATCTATGATGATAACAGCTCGTACGTGCTGCATGTCTGCTCTGCCTATGCTTGCTCTTTTTAGAGCAAAAGCACCTTCAACATCAACAGCAGCTCATTCGACACAGAGTTGTTTCAAATTTTGCAACAGCGTCGACGTGCCCTGTCCATGGATCTATAATAATAACGGCCCTGTCCCACAACTTACGGACAGCAGCATTGTGGATAAACAGACGACGGAGGATCAGGTATGAACCAAAGAACACAATTCAC